AACCATCCGTCAAGGGACGACTTGTGCCTTCACTCAGCATCTCGATAAACAGATCACAAAGTCGTCAACCCATCCATCCATCCGCGCATCGTGCAGACGTTAAATCCTTCATCGGCCATGGCGCCAGCAGTGGCCAGCGACATGTTGCATCGACAGACGTCAGTACGCCGGCCACCGATCAGCTGGCTCCACAGTCGGATCCGCCCCCAGCCACGTCAACACAGCTGCAGCTCGCACCAGCTCCGCCCAGCCGCGGGGCGCGCGCCGGGCCGGCCGGCCACTCACTGATAGCTGGGGTCGAAGATGGGTCGTAAGGTACGGGTCGAGGCCGAGCATGGTGCAGCGCTGCTCGTGCCACGCCACAACTCCTGCTGCTGCAGCCGTTGGCGGCGCTCCTCCTCGTCCCGCTGCACCTCCAGCATGAACAGCTGCCGGCGCTGCTCCTTCGTCATCCGAACTGCCGGACGACGGGGGGAGGGGGAGGGGGAGGGGGTCAGGGCAGGCCGCACAGGTCGCTGAGTGTCGGGAAGGGAGGCCCGCCCGCGCACGCGCGCCCGGGCGGCGTACAGTGAGCCCGTGTATGGTTCGCGGTGAGAAGCGACTCTTTCCGATGAGGACAACAAGGCCCAGGTGTAACTCCAGAACGTCGCCTTTGCAAGAGCCCGTGAGGTGTACACCAGCCATGCTGTGAGCCCTGTGACTGGAGCTGTGCTGATGGGTACACCATAGAGTAGCGGAAACCCAAAGGCCCTCTGGTGTAACTGCAAGTGGTGTACGCTGGTTTGCCGGCAATGCTAGCAACGAAAGAGGAAGTCGCGAAGATGGATAGTCCTGGACGTATCTCACATTAGGCTTCCAATATACAATGCCCGAAAGTAACTTAATCAGCAAGAGACGGGTGTTGCGTGTGTTAAACGTGGAAATGAATGCTGAGGAGCGGGTTGTCACAGGAACAGCCACGCCGCACCTAACGATTCTTAGCTAATTACACGGGGCTTTTACATGTCATGCGGACCGCGCAAAAACATGATGCATTTATAGCTCACTCCTCAAGCATTCTGTAAAACCGGCCAATTAAGGGAGATTACTTCAGAACGGCCCCAACGACCCCACCGTAATCCACCGCAGTACACCTGCTCGCTACCAAACTGGACCCTCCGCACACTCTCGGTGTGTTTGCCCTCTGATCTGGTCAGACCTCAGCCCTCTGACCCGGCCAGAGGTCCCGTCGGGCCCCCCCACCTGTCGACGAACGTTGCGGTACTTCTTGACGCGCGTCTCCAGCTCGGGTGAGTCCGCGCGCGCGCTTGCGTCGCTCCGGCGACCAGTCGTAGCCCTTCTTGGCGGCCGAGGGGGCCCGGCGCGGGGCTGCTTGCTGCAGGTACGTCTGATAGCCGCGGTCTTGGGGCAGGGGCGGCGCCCGTTAGCAGGGCACGCCGGCCGAGGAGCAGCTGTGCCGGTGGAGAGCTCACCACAGCGGACCCGGCAGGGGTGGCTGCACGAGTCGGTGCAGGAGAGGAGTGCGAGGAGATGGCACTGGGTCCGGCTGCGCACTGGGAGCAACCGAGGGCAGTACATTACACGGGAGAGGCCGGGGAGGCGGGGGCGGAGAGAGACAGTCGGCGAGCGGAGACAGTCGGGGAGCGGGAGACAGTCAGCGGGCCGAGACAGTCGGGGAGCGGAGAGACAGTCGGGGAGCGGAGAGCGACAGTCGGAGAGCGGCGAGACAGTCGGCGAGCGGAGAGACAGTCGGGGAGCGGTGAGCGACAGTCGGCGAGCGGAGAGACAGTCGGGGAGCGGAGAGCGACAGTCGGCGAGCGGCGAGACAGTCGGCGAGCGGAGAGACAGTCGGGGAGCGGTGAGCGACAGTCGGCGAGCGGAGAGACAGTCGGGGAGCGGAGAGCGACAGTCGGCGAGCGGCGAGACAGTCGGCGAGCGGAGAGACAGTCGGGGAGCGGTGAGCGACAGTCGGCGAGCGGAGAGACAGTCGGGGAGCGGAGAGCGACAGTCGGCAAGCCAAGAGAGGCATTCGGGGAACCGAGACGCAGCCGGGGAGCAGGGAGAGATGGTCGGGGAGCAGATAAACGTCCGTGGGAGCGTTGCGACCTCTGCGCGGGGTGCAGCGCCGAAAACGTCACCAACAGTCGACACACCAGTGACGTAGCGTGAGTGATACGCACCTGACATGACCCTATCTCATAAGGCGGACGGCGAGGCGTCCACACGCGAGCATGCAGGCGACATGCCGCGGTCTGCGAGCTGCGGGGTTTTCACTGGCCCACATTTTTAATGATCGTGATGTAGGATAACTAGATTATTTGAATAGAAAGCCTGCATCATCACAGAACCTGTGTGGTTATTTTGTTGTTCCTGCTTCTCCCTGCCTGGTTATTTTGCTCTTCTTGTAGCTGTTCCTGTTACCCTAACAGTTCATTCGCCAGTAAACGAAAGAGTTTGGCTGAGACGGGGGTGGCGTCTCATGGCTTTGCGTGACAATCAGTATACCAGAATTGTTCCCATAATCAGAATTGATATGATGGAGGGGAAGGGATTTTGGCAATCAATTATGCGTATCAAGGACTGCCCACGGTCGTCGCCACACAGTGCATCTATACATTAAAGAATCCAACACTCACAGACGAGGCGCACACACGCGCTGGAGCGGACTTCGCGGTGCGTTCCATCCGCAGCAGCAGCAGCAAACTAAAATACAATGCAGACAACTGCGAGACGCTGACTCCAGCAGCTGCTGAGAGCATGGTTAACCCCGCAGTATGAACTTCTGCAGCGTCTTAACAGCCTGAGATCGCGACAGCGGAGCACGTGTTGGTAGCGGTTTGAGGATGGCGTGGTTGTAGAAAGCTCAGACTCGTTAGGACGAGGCGGACCATCTGTGGGGCAGCGACCATGAACACAAACTCGTCCACAGACCGAGTGGCGCTCAATTCGAGCTTGGATGGGCCAGAGAAGGCGCGTGCAGTGAAAGGACGCGCGTTTGGTGCGCCACCGCCGCCACGGGCTGACGGGGGCAGGGCCGACCGTGCCGGGTCACCGGCCAAGGGTCACCGGCCGGGGGTCACCGGCCAAGTGTCACCGGCCACGGGTCGCCGGCCAAGGGTCGCCGGCCAAGTGTCACCGGCCCAGGGTCACCAGGGCACCGCAGCATGTGGGACGACAGCTCTAGTCGGCGACTCGGCCAACAAAGCTCGGCGACACCACTGATGAAGCTCGAAAAAGCCGGACGTACCGAACTCTGGCAGCGTTCGCTCATCACACGGCAGGGCTTCGAGAACTCCAGCCGAGCCCCACCACGGAGCTGATCAGACGGTGAACCAAAACACTGCTTAAAAGCAGCATGACGCGCCGGAACAAAGAGCATAACACACTGAACATGTGAGATAACGCGCACCGCGATGGAAAATGAGCCGTGAGAGTGAAGACAGCCCAGACACGTTCTATCGGTGCCTCGCCAACACACGCCGGGCGCGGCTCGCCCACTCACCGGCCTCCTTCTCGTGCTCGCGCATGATCTCGACGCGCTCTTTCTTTGGTATGCGGAACACCTCCTGCAGGCCGGACCAGGACTCGAGGAGCCGAGAGGCCAGCTCGCCGATCTGACCAAAACACAGACGGCCGCAGCCGGCTCAGCCTTGGGGTCGGAGGTCACTGGGTCACGGCTGGAGTGTGACACAGGGCCACGGCTGGAGTGTGATACAGGGTCATGGCTTGAGTGTGATACAGGGCCACAGCTGGAGTGTCATACAGGGTCACGGCTAGAGTGTGATACAGGGCCACAGCTGGAGTGTCATACAGGGTCACGGCTGGAGTGTGATACAGGGCCACAGCTGGAGTGTCATACAGGGTCACGGCTGGAGTGTGATACAGGGCCACAGCTGGAGTGTGATACAGGGTCACAGCTGGAGTGTGATACAGGGTCACGGCTGGAGTGTGATACAGGGTCACAGCTGGAGTGTGATACAGGGTCACGGCTGGAGTGTGATACAGGGTCACAGCTGGAGTGTGATACAGGGTCACGGCTGGGGTGTGATACAGGGCCACAGCTGGAGTGTCATACAAGGTCACGGCTGGAGTGTGATACTGGGCCACAGCTGGAGTGTCATACAGGGTTATGGCTGGAGTGTGATACAGGGCCACAGCTGGAGTGTCATACAGGGTCACGGCTGGAGTGTGATACAGGACCACGGCTGGAGTGTGATACAGGGTCACAGCTGGAGTGTGATACAGGGTCACAGCTGGAGTGTGATACAGGGCCACAGCTGGAGTGTGATACAGGGTCACGGCTGGAGTGTGATATATGGTCAAGGCTGGAGTGTGATACAGGGTCATGGCTGGAGTGTGATACAGGGTCAGAGTGAGATTATAAGACGGGCCACGGCGACCCGCGACGGCGCGGTCACGAAGTCGCAATGACAGCAAACGGGTCTCTCTGCCGATGGATACAAATCACCACGGGTAGGCCAATACAAGGCGCCAGCTGAGACCTCTGCATGCACAGCGGCACACGGTAATGTTGCACCAAAAGGCAAGTTTAACGCACATGCTCCATCGACCACAGAGGTGCCCAGTCACTTGGCCAGTGCAGCGCCCTCTATTTCGCAGCTCCGCTGCAGCCCCGTATACAGCTTCACCTCACTCCGGCGTCGCCTCGGACCACGCGGCACGACAGGCGCTCCCCGACCCCCGCCTATTGGCCCCCTGCCAGCGCGGACAACCATCTGAGGTCCCCCGGCACCGGCATCCCCGGCGGAGACCGGAACCAGCGGTACTCTCGCGAGAGAGCTGAGCCTCAGCCCTGCGGACCCGGACGGGGCAACCGTGCCGCCGCCGCCGCCGCCGCCGGCCGCCGTGGCCGGCACGGGGCGCCGCTGACCTCGCGCGCGGCCGGGTCGTCGCCGGCGCCGGCGTCCGAGGCGTGTGGTCGCTGGGCGTGTCCGTGTCCGGGGTGCGGGGGTGTGGCCGGCTGGCCGCCAGCTCGCCCACCGCTCCACGGTGCTCAGCACACGGCTGTCCTTGAGCGTCGTCTTGTTGGGGATGGGCAGCACGGCCAGCGTCTCCAGCACCTGGCCAGGGAGAGAAGCCCGTGGCGTGATGACGCTGCACCGGGGCCACCCAAACGCGGGGCGCTACAGGCAGCAGCGAGCCCGAAGGCATCCGTTACAGGCATCGGATGGCAATCTTGTTAGTGTAGTGGCGAGCACACCAGGCGAAAAGCGGAAGGGTGGCACCACGTCAATCCCGCTTGCAAGCTCCAATACAACAATATCATTTTAAGCGACTGGTTTTAAAAACGGCGACTTCCCCGAAAGTCTACTGCCCAGATCTATGCAACAGAAACAAAATTTGAGTGCTCACCAATTCATCTGTACCTATCAAATAATCTGTCTGTGACTGGTTTAAATCAGCGCATAATATAAGTCTGTGATCAGTTTTAAGCCCACAAACACAACTATGCCTCCCCACATCCCAGACAAAACTCCTGACACGGCACATAACGCTCAGCCCTCCACCAGTCCCCATCGGCAGGACCGCCGACGCCGCCCCCGGGCGCGCGCGGCGCCGAGAGTCGGCCGGCCCGGGCGTCGAGAGCCGGCCGGCCCGGGCGTCGAGAGCCGGCCGGCCCGGGCGTCGAGAGAAGCCGGCCGGGGCCCGGGCGCCGGGAGCCGGCCGGCCCCGGTCGTCGAGAGCCGGCCGGCCGGCCCGGGCGTCGAGAGCCCGGACCGGCCCGGCCGTCGAAGAGTCGGCCGGGCCGGGCGGCGCACCTTGCGTCTGAAGCGCAGTGCCTCGGCGTCGGCCGGCCCCTGGGGCGAGGGCGCGCTGGCCATCCAGCTCCAGACCAGCCGCAGGCCGTGGTAGTCGAGGAACAGCCGCCTGGCGGGCAGGACGGCCGCTGTCAGGCCCGGCGCCCGCCACACACCGGCCGACGGCTGACCGTGAGACACCAGCCACACATCGCGCAACAATTCACTCCACGATGAAACGGTGGGTGAGTTGTACCGACCAATACGTGCAGGGCGTGAATACGAAATGCATCCTAATTTGGCGGCACGAGCATGTGTTTCCTCGAGCAGGCGACCCATTACAAACATCCCTTCATGGGGGGCCGGTAGTGTAGCGGTTAACGTGTGCGTCTGGGATCAGAGGTACTGGGTTCGATTCCTCACGGCACTCGCCCTTCCTGCCAGGGCGAGAGGCATGCGACGCCATGTAGTCCCAGCAGCTGAGTGCCGCTATATGTGGCAGAGCGAGGCCATGGGAAACTTGTTTCGTCATTTCGCAATCAGGGTATTACTTATCAAACCACGAAGGACCACAGCTGTAGCAATACATCATCACAGAACATCAGGTCCTCCACGCAGTATTACGCTGCACCAGAGTCCAGTCAACTTCCTTCGTCTGTCTGCATCACTCAGCGCCACGTCCCAGCCGTGCAGCGGCCGGCGCTGCTCGGCGTGGCCCCCCTTCCCCCCCGTGTGAGCCTTCTCCGACCGCGCGTCTCGCGCACCCGTCAGCGGGGAAGGGGGCGGCGGCGCGTGCCGGCCGGCCGGTCACCTGCAGGGCTTGATCGGCCGAGCGATCAGGTCGAGCAGCGCAGTCGCTCGGCGTCACTCTCGGCGCGCACCATCAGCCGGGAGAGCTCCAGCGTGTGCTGCTTCGACTTCAGACCGGACGCCACCAGCTTGTTGATCTCCATCTCCAGCTGCGGACAGCCGCGCCGGCCGGGCGTCAGGGTGGGGGCGCCGACGGTGCCCATCAGCCGCCGGCCGTGTGTGGTGCAGCAGCCGGGCCCAGATAACCACGGCGTGGCAGGAAATGCAGATGCAAGATATCGACAAATATGGACAGAGCTTGAACCGCATCGCAGTAAAGGTGACTCAACTGATGCCTTTCATTGCTAATCCGATCGGTCATTTCCTAAACCCTAAGCAAAACGAAGGCTTCAAAATGTTATGAACGAATCCAAAAGCATCGCTCTATATCAGACTTATCGTATGACCAACCCACTCGCCCGTCCACACACGTCACAGTCGCCGCCAGAACGAGCTTGGCGATTCGCTCAGGCCTCACGTCTCGCTTCTCAGCGTCCTTGCGCAGCTTAGCCTTCTTGGTGGGGGCCGGCGGGCGGGGGCCGGCCTCGTCCGCCGGCCCGACGGCCGCTCCGGCCTCGTCCGCCGCCTCCTCGGCCCGCTCGTCCTCGTCCTCGTCGTCGTCCTCGGCCGGCGGCTCGTCCGTCTTCTCGCCGATCCAGCCGCGGCATATGTCCGAGCCGCAGAAGCACTTCTGCGCCTCCTTGCCGTACCTGGAAGCGCAGCGGGGCGTCGGACGCGTCGCGTCGTGCGGAGGCCGAAGCGTTTCGCACGTCAGGTGGCCAAGTCGAGCGGTCCAGTGGCGGAAACTCCACACCAGGTGGAACATTGGGACTCGATATCAGGCATTTCATGACCTCCAACCGCAGAGACGCGAGCTGCAAAACGGTAGCAAACATTCCAAACGCCCCGCAAAGCCACACACAATATTGCCGTTCTCCCGCCTCCGCCGGACTGTCAGATGTCCGTCAGTTTGGAGGAGGGCGGACGCAACGCCCACCCCGCCCAAGCCTTCCACAAGAGACTCGTCTCCCGCGCGCCGCTGACCGTACCGCTGCAGCTGATAGTCGAACGTGATCTCCTCGCCGGCCGCCACCGGGCGCCGCGTGAAGAAGCCGATACGCAGCTCTCCGTTCACCGTCCACTGCAATGCGATAGCGGTTCTCGGGTCAGTCTTCGCGCCGCCACCAGGGAGCAGTCCATCGTGGTGCGACACAGCGCCGACACAGCTAGCAGGCCTGCTCAGTAACTGTGCGGCTTCTGAAGTTTCCACGCGCGTGCCCTGAGCCGGCCGGTCATGTGATGTCTGAAACCTCGGCACACACGCACCGAAGAAGCAGCATCCTGTCAAAAGTCTCATGAAAACCAGCCCCCATACGTTCGAAGGATGCTCCGATCTCCAACTGACCGTCCGCTGATGTCGAGCGAAGCTCAAAAGCGACCCGCGTCTCAAAGACATGATCCGTGCCCGGCCGCGTCACCAGGTCGGTGGTACAAGACGACCACTATGGGGATAAAATAAGGGGGTATGGGGATAATGCGCCCTTCGCAGTGAGGCCTTCATTCGACTGGCCATATCTCCTCCCCGATATCCCCCCGTCCTATCACTGACACGCCGGGCTCACGTAGGGTGCTTCTAGCGGCGCGGCAGCTTCAAACCCCGTGCGCAGCAGCGGTGCGCCGCCTCCCGACCTTAGCCTGCTCCCCCTCCTCCCCTCCCCCGCCCACCGCGCCGTCACCGCGAATCCCACGGCCCACGTCTCTGTATCCTCGCAGGCGTGTCACGTGTCAGGATTGTTGAGCGCCGGCGCCCAGCTGGCCGCTCAGTCGTCACAGCAGCCGGTGACGGCGGCTGGACGGGACGAGGCCATGGCACCGAGGCCCGGGAGTCCCGGGAGGCCCGGGAGGCCCGGGAGTCCCGAGAGCCCTGGGCGTCCTGGGAGTCCTGGGAGTTCCGGGAGCCCCGGGAGCCCCGGGAGCCCCGGGAGGCCCGAGAGGCCCGGGCGGCACCGACCGCCAGGGTCGCCGAGGGGCGGAGCGACGCTGCGCCGGCGGGTGCGCTCGGGATCGGCAGAGCCGCGAGACGACGGCGCATCAGAGGCGGGGGCCGATGTCCTGGGACCAGGGGACTGCAGCGGCGGCACTCGCCGACACCGACGCTGCCAGACGTCCAGGTGCCAGAGGTCCAGCACCAGGTGCGCCTACTGCTGGTTAACATGGCTCAGGCAAAACGCCCAACCCATGTCCGCTTTCATACCGCTGAAGCGGTGGACGGAATGCCACCACCCAACACCTTCACTCCTGTCACGAAATTTCAAACACATCTCAACGGCTTCGAAACCCGGTCGCACACCACCACAGCCTATCCCTTTCGCCGCTCCGTTCCCGCCGCACCACCACAGCCCATCCCCTCCTCTCGCCGCACCACCACCACAGTCCATCCCCTCCTCTCGCCGTACCACCACAGCCCATCCCCTCCTCTCGCCGCACCACCACAGCCCATCCCCTCCTCTCGCCGCACCACCACAGCCCATTCCCTCCTCTCGCCGCACCACCACCACAGTCCATCCCCTCCCCTCCCCGCTCCGCCTTCGCCGCACCACCACAGTCCATCCCCTCTCCCCACTCCGCTCTCGCCGCGCCACCGGCCGCGCCTACGGTACGCCGACGTCGCTCTGGGCCGCCCACCTTCTGCGTCTCGGCGTTGGGATCGCAGCTGTGGTTAATGAAGCGCGAGTCGTTGCCCTTCTCGGTGGCGTCGATGATGGCGTCGCCCTTCAGCGCCATGAAGTAGTAGTGGTGGTACTTCAGCCGGTCGTACTCGTTGGTACGTCGCCGGAATTCCTGGGAGTCCAGCACCTGGCGGCACAGGTCAGCATCATCAGCGGGCCCTGCACGCGTCCAGCAGACAAAATAAATAAGCAAAGAAACAACTGGGGTCGCCGTTTACGCGTACGACAGTGGATGGAGACGAAGACGGCCACAGGCGACGCTGAGACGCAGTGGGGATGAGCCACCCGTCGAATAATATCAGAATAATATCAGGGGGCGTACCAGTCTTTAGACGGGTATCGGTGCGCACGGCAGGCTCACGGTGGCGTGACAGCTGTCCTGTACTTGTACACACGCAGATTAGGCATACCCGAATCAAGGCAACTATCCTGCAGCGGCCCTGTTTTCCTACCTGAAATATTTTTGGTTCAATTCTTTCGGCAAGCCTGCTGCCTCTTCGTCACCACTATCAGAAAGTGCCTTCAAGATTACGTTGTAAGTACATAGGCGGAGATCTTTAAAGCAGGGAACATTTTCGTGCGATGTTGATTTTCTTCAGCGTATCTATCTTTCGTGCTATCCCACAGGGTTCCCATCCCGGGTGGACAGATTCAATGTTTCTCCAAAATCTGGCGAGTCATACCGCCAAATTGTACAAATGCCAGACAATTCTGACCCATTACAACATGAGCCGGTGAAGAAAACCACTTTGCACGTAGGTTTACTTTGATTTTGCCCATCGCACGCGAAACTAATCGCCCAGTAGATTTCACGATCATATTGGTTTTGTCTTCAATCGTATGAGAGCTCATAATACCTTATCTCGATAACAATAACGTAAGCATTCCAAACCGGCTGGCGCTTGGCGACTTAGGCTTCGGTGGGTGGGATGTGTGTCATGGGCTGTCGGTGGACACAAAGCCACGCCGCCACGCCTGCGGCGGATTTGTTCGGCCGTCTAAGCTGGGCGGCTACACTACGGCCGCCGCCACACTTGGAAGTGAAATGGTGCTGTCTGCAGCCAAGTTCGGATTCATTCACGCCTCACATTAAACAACATGTAACACCTTACGGCATACTTTGGGAAAACCAGGTGAACTTGCTAGTGCTATGAACAGTGACAACTAGTCACGCAGCTACTGAGGGTTACAATAGTGCAGTGGTTAACGCGTCCGCATTAACCATTGCACGTCTGGAATACCAGAGGTACGGGGTTCGACCCCCGGGTGCCCGCTCTTCCTGCCAGGGCGAGAGATCAGCGACGCCAATAGCCTCAGCACCTGAGCGCGTCGCATCGACGAGCCACGCAACTACCGTAGCGCTTTTTTATACCCAGAAACTTTTCCTTTGGTACTATTCCTTTACGGGGATTGGGCAGACAGAACATTTACTTCCTGAGCTGAATGCGTAAAAAATTGCGGCACACCTCTTGGGTCACTCGGCGACATTCCTCTCGCTGTGTTTCCCCCTTACTCGTGACAAGTGGCAATCTTTGCATGACGCATAAAAGCG